TTCATTTTTCTTGATTTATCACTTTTGAATGTTGTTATCTTGTTTTTGATATTGGTGAATGACACTGGAATGGTCGAATTGTGTGTTTGGCTTGTATACGTGGATTGACATCTAACATTGGTTTAATTGTAAGTTTTGTGGATGGATTTGTTTTCTATGGTTGAATTGATTGTTGGTGTTATGTTCAAGATGATTAAGTAAATCCGTTCACTAGGAATAGGAAATGATAGTTGCTTATTCTTTTGTGATGGTTCAAGACGATTTTTAGCCAAAGATCCAACAGTTGATTCGATTTAGTTATTGGTTAATCGTAATAAATAATTTATCTTCTCAATAAGTTCTGAATTTTTAAGTGAACCAACATTTTTTTTTTTATCTAAAACAAGAAATTTATTTTTTTTTTCACCTTGTTTAATTTTCTCAATAAATTTCAAATTATCATCTAAGAAAGATCTTGGAAGCGAACTATAACTTAGATTAGACTACGGTGAAGTTAATCTTAAGTACAAATTAATGTTTAAGCCATTTTACGGGTCAATGAAGCTAGAAAATCATCAATCATTGAACCAAACTAATGTTTTTATATCTTATATGTGTATAAAAATATATATACGTATGTATACATTAGTCTTCATGTTTTTATATCTTATATGTGTATAAAAATATATATACGTAGGTATACATTAATCTTCAATTCGGTTCGATTAACAGATCACCATTATCCAAACCGAACCAAAACTAAAATTTCAATACATATAAATCGAAAATCAAACTAAATATTCAGTTTCGACTTTGGTCTAAATCGAATCTTCAATTTCGATATGTTCGGCTCGCTTGACCGAATTTTTACACCCCTATTTGTGATGATCGAGGAGTTTATTTTATGCAAATAATTATTTTGGTAGGGAGGATGGTCACAAAAGAGAAAGAGATGGAGAGAGGGTTATTTATGACAATGAATCAATTGTTTCATCCAAGTTCAATTAATTTTTTAAATTGTCATTGATATGCTACTATGTTTAATATCTACAAACGTTTTCCAAATGATATTTAAGATGTGTAAATTAGTCAAGTATTAAATGATACTATACTTTCAATGGTTTAACTCCTCATTTATCATGACATTTGCATTTTTCAATTATTTAAACATAGCCAACAGCCCGGCCCGTTGTCTCCAAGTCCGGGCTATAAAATGGATAATCTAAACCGGCCCGTGAATCTTCACATATAAACCGTTATCTTAGCTCCAATACAAAATCCAACAAAATCCAACAATTAAATTTAAAATTTAGGTCAAAATTTTATCTAACTTTAACTATTTAACTAAAAATTCAAATCAAATTTTATTATCTTTCTTTAGTATTATCAAATCCAACAGGCCGGCTAGTTCCAAGTTATGAACCGGGCCTTGTAACACCCAAACCCGATTTCAAATTTGGCCCGGTACCTGAACAACGGATCAGATACGAAACGAGCCGGGTAGTCACCGGAAAAACACGCCGGAGTGTCACCTACATGATAAAATGGTCGAAAAAGGCGTCTAAACAACAAAAAAAAAATTAAAAATGATGAATATAAAAATTCCTGCAATTCTCAAAATATGAAATTACTAACAAATTTACAATTAACACATTTTTTCCCCCTAAAATCGAACAAAAATGGTGATGATTAAAAAAAAAAAAGTGTTGGGAAAAATATAGCGATTTGTTCGAGGCCGTAATCAAAACGTATGAAGATAAATTTGAAAGGCACGGAGAATCGCTTAAATTTGGCCAACCTTCAATGCAAGGAATTCGCCATTGTTAATCGACGCACTTGCTCTGCAAATTGGCTTCAATAATCAGCATTTTATTTATATATTTAGTATGAATAACGTAAAGATATCAAACAAGTGTATGTATGCATTTTTAGCTGCAAATAGTGTTGAAAAGCGGTGTTTGTTTGAGGAGCAATTGAGCAAGGGCTTTTATAGAGAAGAATTAGGGCAACAAATAAACAAGCTCTATTCACCGTATTTGACTACTTTACCCTTTCTCTGATTTGTTATTTACAATATTGCAGAACAAAATTAAAAAATGGATAAATATTGAGGGGGTGATTGTTTACAAAATAATTTACTCACTTTTATTTCAACTCAAAATATAACTCAACTTTAACTCAACCCTACTATCTTTAATATTATTTATATAATTAAATAATACAAACCAATCATGCTTACACATCACATCAACTTTAATTCACTATTCATCCACTCACATAATTTTAACTACCTATCATTTCCAATCATTTATCTCTTACTTTTACATCAAATCAATTTTAATTATTTTATTTTAAATATTATTTTAATAAATTCTTAAAATTCCACTACAACTACCCATACCACCTTTTTCAAAATTAACTATAGTTAACCAAAATAACTCAATTTGAACAAATTATTTTATAAACAATCAAGCCCTCATATTTCCATGAACTAACTAACTAGTGTTTTATGCTTAAGATAATAATATCTGAGATATGTGATATTTTATAGTATAACTATGAAAAATCGATAAAAAGTATGATGAGGACATGAGGTTGACGAGGTTAGAGCATCTCCAATGGTTGAATATATATTTTGAGATGAGTAGTGTGTAAAAAAGGAAATAAAAATATTTTTTGTCTCAAGTGGTTAATGTCAGTTGTGGAATAATTTGACATATTTAATAAATAATTGGTTAGTGAATAAAGAAATATAAATAAAATAGAAGATGTCCTAGAAGTCTTTACATTTTTTAAAATGCCACATTGATTTTTTTTTAGGCTAGGTGGCACTGAAATAGAGCAATCCATGTACATTGGAGTTGCTCTTAGTGATTCGTGAATTTAAACATTTTTTTTTTATTTTAACTTTTGAAAACTGATGGATGACCCTGATTTTTAGTAATTTTTGAATATTGTATAAGGTGATATTTTTTTTCTCATTGGTGAATAATGTGTAAGATAATATTTCTTTTACTTTGTGTATACTGTAAAAATAATTACATCAACCTGTTTATGAACAAAAATACATGTATGCATTGATAATACTAACATACTACGATCTAAAGTATGTAGTCTGATGCAAACATAAGTTGTCGTGTTTTGGAATTTGGATAGTTGTGTTTAAAATATCAAGTCGAATTTCTACTATCAACTAATTGATGGGGTGAATTGAGGAAATATATTTAAGTTTAACTAACTTCTATATTATGTAATTAAAAATCGAGGGACTTTTTCTCTCACCCCTTTTCTCTTATGAAAAAATAAAAACAGAAAACTTTTTTTTCTGAAAATGTTGTCGCCCCCTTTTTCCGGTAGCCTAACCACTGTGCCCACCATACTGGCCTCGGTCAAGTCGCGACTGAGATCATTTTTTTCACATAGAGCTCTGTGTGAGACTTGGCTGGCGGTGACTCTCGCCGCCTCACCTATCTCCCCGATTTTGGAGAGAGTAAACGACCGCCGCATTAGACCCAAACGAGGGAAACTGCCGATCTGCTGGAGTTTCGGTCTCACACGCCTCTATTATGATCCTTGGATGTTGTGGCTGCTCGGCTGAGAGCAACGTTGTGTGGGTCTTCTTAAGTCCCAGTCTTAAGCCCTCCGGTGTGTTCTTGGCAGCTCCCCTTCCTTCCCCTAAGCGCCGAAGTTCCTCAGAGTCTAGATCAAGATCGAGAACGGTCTCCTTTCCATATCCACCTAGGTAGTTCGAGTGACCGGAACTTTTCAAGTTTGGGGTCTAGTTTTGTTGCTCTGATGGGGTTCGTCGTTGTGGTGCTTGACTCGACTGTTGGTTTAAGTGGTCGTGTGGTTCACCTGCTACTATTAGGGGATGTGTTATTCAATTTGTTTATTTGGTGTGTATCGTTTTTTGTCTATCTTTGTTTTTCGTTTCTTTAGTCCAATAATGTCCGACATCTAGTCTCCTTCACATAGTTTTGTCTACTTTTATGGATTTGTGTTTTGTTTATTTTTTTTTTTTTTTTTTTTTT